ATTTTTACTATGAATATGCCAAACTCTAAAACACAGGGAACCCAATATGTGAATATAAGCTTCCTGCATTTGACAAACTGTGTGAAGAAAAAACTTAAAATGTATCTCAACAAAGCAAAAAGCAGATTAAAAATAAGAAATCTATTTTTAGCACTGTACTAGCTTCAGCATGCAGACTTCTGAAGAGCCCAGGGAGAGAAAGACCACATTTCTTGATCAGAAAACTGTGAATCTGGAAGTGAAAAAAAAAATTAAGTATCTATTACCCCCACAACCTGCAACCAAAGAAACTTTACTCTTGAAGAAAGCTAAAGAGGAATGGTAATTACCAACCCCTGCCAGCTCATTGCCAGATCAAAGGGCTTGTCCTTCTGTATGTCAGTGTAGAGGCTGGATTAACTGATGAGTGGGAAAGCTGCAGTTTTACACATGAGACGGTAGAGGTTAGCCTGGCAGAAAAATCTATACCATGACTCACGAGGCAGGAAGAGGAAGCAAAACCAGCCCTCAGCAACTTTATCAAGATGAAGTGATTAAAATTATGTCTAGTTTACAGCTGATGCAAGGCGTGCTGTTTGCGAATACCTAGGACTTGTGGGTAGTAATTCACTGTAGGGTGACTGCCACTCAAAATGGCTTCAGAGAGATGATAAGAAGCCCTTGATTGATGACGATGGGGCCACAAAAACAATGCATTCTGAAACCTGTCATTAGGGGATGCTTCTCCCCAGGGCTTACAGAACATGCCAACCAGCACATGGCAATAATGTGAGAATGAGTCATGAGTAGTCAGCCACCCAGCGTATTTCCATGAGCAGACTAAAATTATAAAACTGTAGTACGTGCAAAATAAAAATCTGAAAATAGATTCAGCTGAGCAAGACTGGTTGTCAGCTTCGGAATCGATAAACAGGGGTTGGGAATTTGGAATTGTTCTCGCATCAAGTGAATGGATTCTCAGCCTATCACAAATAAAATGCCTGAAGTTCTGTGCCTGTAGCACCCAACCACCCTGTAACCTCAAGGCATGCAACATAGAGCCTCCTTTAGAATTCCCAGTATGCCCTGGTCACAGAAGAGGTGCTTCCTCAGCCCTAGGGCGGGATGGAGACTGGTCAGGGGCTCCCTGGGAGAGATGGGCTAAGGAGGCAGGAGAAAGGGTGCAGATGCAGGGATCTCCTGACCCTCTGACCTCAGGCGTCAAACCCATCAGTGAGTCCATCTCAATTTACCTTGAATTTTGTCCCTTCTCTCTACTCTATTGCCAATATCAGGTCCTCACCATCTATGGCCTGAATCATTGCAAATAGCCTCTAAATTACTTTCCTTTGGCTGCTGTAACGAATTACCACAAACTTAATGGCTTTTAAAAAAACACAGAGATTTATTATCTTACAGTTCTGGAGGCCAGAAGTCTGAAATGGATCTCACTGGGCTAAAAATCAAGGTGTTGGCAGGCTGCATTCCTTCTGGAGGGCCTAACGGGGAGTCTGTTTTCTGGGGGTTTTTTTTGGTTTCTAGAGGCCACCCTCATTCCTTGGCTCATGGTTCCTTCCCCATCTTCAAAGTCAATAGTGCAGACTCTTCAAATCGTTCTCTGCCTCTGACCTCCTCTGTGCATCCACTTCCATTTATGAGGACCCTTGTGATTACATGGGACCCATCCAGATAATCCAGAATAATCTCCCCATCTCAAGGTCAGCTGATTAGCAACTTTAATTCATTTCCTTTTGCCACATTCACAGTTCTGGGGGTTAGGACATGGACATCTTTGAGGGGGGCCATTATCTGCCTCCTAAGTGGTCTCTAAGATTTCGGTCTTGCCTCCTTCCACAAACTCTTCCCATGATTGTCAAAAATCAAACAGTAATCTCATGCTTTTGCTTCAAATCCTTCCCTGATACCATTCTCCTGCAGGAGAAAGTCTAGACTCCTCACCCAGCTCAGGAGGCTCTTGGACATTGCCCAGTTCTGGCCTCAAACCCTGCTGCTTCCTCACTGACCCTTCACTTTAGGGGTGCAGCAGTGGACAAGGCTTGGAAGTCAGGTTGCCCCCTGAGTTAGGCTGGTCAGTTCACACTGAGGCACACACGTCAATACTTGAAACAAGCAACAAATCCATGCTGTTCACACCTCCGACCCTTTACACAAAGAGTTCCAGCTGAAGTGCCCGCCCTTCCCAAAGTCCCCTGAAGAACCAAACTCTATCCCTCATGACCCATGCAATGTTCAGGACGTACCTATACTTAAAAAATGATTCATTAAATTCACATTGAACTGGGCATCCTGTATTTTTATTTGCTACATCTGGTCGCCTTAAGATTCCTTCACGACTCAGCTCTTAGGCTCTTCCTCCCTGCTCTCCCCACCCTGCCCTCATGCCCTGGGGGTCCTGGGCTTTCTCCACCCTGGGCTCCCATCCTCCTAAGCTGGACAGTCATGCATTTATCTCACTGCAGCATGTTTGCTTGTATCTGAGCCCACTCTAAAATGTGAACCCCATGAAGGCATGATCCACATTTTTGTTATCTTGCCACCTGTCATAGAAAAATTAGAAAATCCAGGTCGGCCGAAGGAAAATCAATGACTCACATGTGAATCCGCATCATGCTCTCACTTGTACTAACTGGATCCTACCTGTGAGCCTCTAGTGGAAAAGGTGAAACCAGTGTGGAAACTGAGACAGTGAATTAAGTGCATTACAGGACTCGAGATCGTTTTTATTCCATCTCTCTGCTTCCAGGCAGGACCACATTGATAACTGGGTGGTCGCTGAAAAATGACCCCAGCCCTCAAAGAAGACCCCCCGCTACTCTCTAGCCAACCCATTTGAGGAATTCATGTGCTTTCACGGGCGGAAGTTCTCACCAAAGTCATGCATTTCAAAACGTTTGAAATTCACTGTGCCCCTTGCTCCCTCCTTCTTTTTTGTTTCTAGGTAACAATGAGATCATCTTATGAAACTGGATTCTTCTTCAATGACAAATTTATCTAAAATGCATTCATTTCATGCTGGATAAATTTCAAGACCTGATTATTTTGCCATTATATCCATGTTGATGAATGTTAAATCTCAAATAGACAATCAAAAAATTATCTTTTAATGTCTACCACCGTCAAACAAGAATTTCAGACTGGATTCCAGTGACTAGAAACTTCGAAAAGTCATGTACCTGAAGTAATGTATTGATGGACATGTTCAAAATTACATGTCTACTTTTTTAGACTCATAAAGATGAAAGAGAAAGAACGAGAGAGGGCAGAAAGAGAGAAAGAAAAGACAGGGAGGAGGGAAAGTGCTGAGGTTCTCTCTGGCTCGACAGTCACATG